CAAATTATTATTCAGTAGGAGAGAGTATATCAAAATTATTTTATAACTTGAACATTGGAACACCATTATTTATATTTCTGTTTAGAGTAAAGGTATGTTTCAAATGTGCTCTATATTATTGAAATAAAGGTATGTGTCAACTATCTTATTGAAATAAACGGATGTGTCAACTATTGTACATAGATATGAAATTTGTTGAAATGAATTGCATATTCTAAAGGAAAGTATGCGAAATTATTTTATTGAGTTGAAGGTATGTGTCAACTATTTTATTGAAATTAAGGTATGTATCGACTATATTATTGAAATGAAGTTATCTGTCATCTATTTTATGAAATGAAGGTATGTATCAACTATTTTATTGAAATGAAGGTATGTATAGACTATATTATTGAAATGGAGGTATGTGTCAATTATTTTATTGAAATGCAGGCATGTATCAACTATTTTATTGAAATTAAGGTATGTATCGACTATATTATTGAATTGAAGGTATGTGTCAGCTATTTTATTGAAATGAAGGCATGTATCAACTATTTTATTGAAATTAAGGTATGTATCGACTATATTATTGAAATGGAGGTATGTGTCAATTATTTTATTGAAATGCAGGCATGTATCAACTATTTTATTGAAATTAAGGTATGTATCGACTATATTATTGAAATGAAGGTATGTGTCAGCTATTTTATGGAAATGAAGATAAGGATGTGTCTACTATCGACTTGAAATAAGGGTACATATCATCCATTTTATTGAAATGAAGGTATGTTTCAACTATTTTATTGAAATGAAGGTATGTATAGACTATATTATTGAAATGGAGGTATGTGTCAATTATTTTATTGAAATGCAGGCATGTATCAACTATTTTATTAAAATTAAGGTATGTATCGACTATATTATTGAATTGAAGGTATGTGTCAGCTATTTTATTGAAATGAAGGCATGTATCAACTATTTTATTGAAATTAAGGTATGTATCGACTATATTATTGAAATGAAGGTATCTGTCATCTATTTTATGGAAATGAAGATATGGATGTGTCTACTATCGACTTGAAATAAGGGTACATATTATCCATTTTATTGAAATAAAGGTATGTTTCAACTATTTTATTGAATTGAAGGTATGTATCTTATTGAAATGAAGGTATGTATCATCTCTCTTATTGAAATGAAGGCATGTATCATCCAACTTATTGAATGGAGGTATTTTTCAACTTTCTCACTGAAATGAAAGGTATGTATCAACTTTCTCTTTGAAGTGAAGGTTTGTTTAAACTATCTTATTGAAATGAAGGTATGAATCAGCTATATTATTGAAATAATGGTATGTATCTTATTGAAATGAAAGTATGTATCAACTATATTATCAATATAAAGGTAAGTTTTTTTATATTTTTAAATGAGGTATGTGTCAAACTATTATTTTCACATTTTCTTCATTACTTCTAACTCGATGTTTGTCATAATTATTCAAGGATATGTATGATTTTAGTTATTTTCTGTACGCGTTTTAGCACAATAAGTGACCATAACTATATACAGCTAAGCTCAAAGAATATTCTCTGATTTACATGGACATTTATTGTAGAATTTACAGGTGTGTAACATTTTTATTAAGCTTACCCTATCATGCAGTATAGATGAATACAGGGATTCAGATTTGTCAAGATTGGTTCCATTTCAGTATTAGTATTACAGGTATGTTTTTAGGTATGTGAAAAGTACCTAGTGAGAGTATATGTATGCAAAGAGTTATCAGTATTATGAAGCGTTCCTGATACGCTTTATAGGTATGTAGCGAATATTTTGATTTCAGTATACGGAACAGTTATGTCTGGAGAACTTATTTTTCAGTATTATCGAAATACAGGTATGTGAATTAGATTTAACTCACACATCAAGTACCGTAAAGATAGGTGAATATAACTTCTTATTTCAGTATCATATACGTAAGGTATGTGAATATAACTTCTATTTCAGTATCATACACTAACAGGTATGTGAATATAACTTCTATTTCAGTATCATACACGTAAGGTATGTGAAAAATACTTTTATTTCAGTATCATACACTAAGGTATGTGGATGTAACTTTCATTTCAGTATTAACGCGTAAGGTATGTAAAGAAAACTTTTATTTCAGTATCATAAACGTAAGGTATGTGAGTAAAACTTTTATTTCAGTAGCATACATTAAGGCATGTGGATTTAGCTTTCATTTTAGTATCATTCACGCACACGCACAGGTATAAGATACGACTTTTATTTTAGTATAAAAAAAACTGACTGATATGTGAATATATATTTTAATTTAGAATCATATACCTTACTTACTGTAAGAGGTTTGTAGTATATATTTTACTCCGGCATACACATGTATTTTTATTTTAGTAACATATACATACACTTATGTAAAAATTTAAAACCATACACGCATAAGTATGTGGATATAAATTTATTCCCTATATACGCGTACAGGTATTACTAGAAGTGAAGGTATGTCAAAGTTCCTTTCTATATACTAGAAATGAAAGTATGTCGTATTTAATACCTTTTTAATAGAAGAGAAGGTACGTCGTTTTTAATACCTTTTTACCAGAAGTGAAGGTATGTCATATTTAATATTGTTTTACTAGAGGTAAATGTATGTCGTATTTAATACCGTCTTTAAATTAGTGAGGGTATGTCAAAATTACTATATATTTACTAGAAGTGACTGCATATCGTTTTCTAGTAGTGAAGGTAT